GTATTATCGATATTGTATTCTAAATAAAGTATAATCTTTGCTCTTTCATTAACTTTGTAACAAACTGCTACAGTGAAATAATATTCCACTTGGACACCGTTGAGAGCTCCTCTTCCATGTCTTATGTTACTTGTGTTGAATAAAGAAGGCTAACACTTGTAACAGTATGTTTAAAACTAAGAATCATAGTTTGATTAACTAGATAATAGACTGCTGTAGAACTAAAAATATTGAGTTAGAACTGATTAAGGTTAAAGACTATAGTATGAACTACTAGAATGACAAAGCTGATATGTTAGCAAAAGAAAAACTCTCATCTAGCCTAATACTAGAAGCACAGGATGCTATAGCAGGCAGTATAAGAGTAGCACTAATCTGGAAAAACAAGCTAATAGATAGCCTACTAAAATCTTTTGTCAACATAATTACAACAACATTATATGAATATGAATGAGCAGACCTAAATAATATTAAACTAATACTAGGTCAAAGATCAAATAGGCAAAGCAATGAAGAGCTAAACTAGAGAAACATATAGAGCATGCTAAAGAAGCTTCAGGGAAAGAGATATACTAGTATTAAAAAAAGCAAAGCTCTAATCTTCAGAATAAAGTGTCTCAATAAGTTATTACTAACTAAAAACCTTTGCTTTCAAAGAAATCTAAGCCTATACAAGAACAAAACTTGTATAGTATGCTTTGCAAAAGAAAAATCATTAGGACATATTGCAGAATATCAAATATATCAAGGAATTTAGAGAAAGATTGAAAGGTTAATTATAGAAGAGCTAAGTATGAAAATTGATGATAGATAGGACATTAATATCTCAGAGCAAACCTTAAAAAAAGTATTCTTAGAACAGGATATAGCAGAAATACTTAGGAAAAAAAGTTACATATTTGAGATCTAACAAGTAACTAGCTTACAACAAATGTTAAAAAAATTTTAAAATCTGTTTCCAAAACTAACAAAGCAATAAGCTAGTTTTCTAAATTATTTTGGTATAATTTCTTTGAAAGATTATAGAAATTTTATTGTGAAGTTATGCTAGAATAGGAAGAAAAGAATAATATTAAGTTTAAAGAATAAAGGAAAAAAGCAAAGTAAAAGTGTAATAAACTTGAAAAAGAAAATATAGCAAATAAAAAAAACTAGAATTTAAGCAAAAACAATTATGAAGAATCAAGTAAAAGCAAGGAAAAAGAATTCAAAACCTAGCTGAAGCTAAAGTAAAAACATGAATTGAAAAAGGCTTAAAGGAAAGCTAGTTAAGTTTCAAAAATAACTAAGATATCTTGAATAGATGCAGAAAAGCCTTTTATAGATCACTAGAGTATGAATTTGCTTAGACAAACTGCTTTAGTAGAAGGAAAATTACTTTTGTAGCTGATCGCACTTAGGTACCTAGAGTAGCTAAGTAAGTTCAAAATTAAAAAAAGAGAGTAGTTATATAGCTAATGTAAATTAGTTTTTATGCTTATTGTAATATTATATATATTTTTTCTTAATAAATGAAGAACAAGATCATCTAAGTTAAAAAAAAATCTTAGTATAGTGGTTAAGTTGTCAAATTATTATATAAGAAGTCTGAGATTCAAATTTTATTATCAACAAATTTGAATAATTATCTAGATCTTTGTATCTAACTTACAATAAACCCTATTTGTTTTTAGGAGCTATAACTCTATAAATCATATTATACTAATGTCAATAAGATATTAGAAGTATAATATAGTATCAAGGATGATGTAATGTCAAGTATAATATATTATTATATGAATAAATCAAGATAGGATCTATGAGCAAAAGACCTGTATAGTAGAAATTCTGAATTAAATAATATAATACAGATTTCAACAGTTATACTAGTTCAATTTTTGATTTCAAAAAGAAATTTAGATATGAAGAATGCAGATCAAGTGAGTGTAAATAAGTCTATTACATGAGATTATATAGCAATACCAACTTAACTTGATAGCTAACTAGATTTGAGAGGATCTATCTCATAAAATATCTAGAAGAACTTAGAGAACTAATCTGGTGAAGAGCTACAGCAAGAACTAGATTTATATAAATACTGATAAGAGTATATGCTAGCTTAATTAGGATACAACATAACATAGTTAAAGTTATTTGCAAGCCTTCACTAGAATAAAACTATTAAGATATCTTGTAATAAGGCTTGGTTCTATAAAGACAATTTAAGGTACAAGTTGGTCTGAGTGATTCTCTAAATAAGATAGCATAAGATTAGGTAGATATAAAATATTAAGTTAAATATAAAGTTTCACAGTGATGCTAAAGAGTTTAAATAGAGTATCTATAGGCAGATACTAGATATAACAATTGGTAAATAATCTACATGATAAAACCTTTAAATAGACAATGACTAAAGCTGTATATGTAGCCAATTATACTCTCACTAACAAATATAACTTGAAAAATAATACTTAATAAAAATCTGCAAACAACTTGTTGAAAAATAAAAATAAAATAAAAAATATTTATTAAAATTTAATATTATTAAAAATATAATATATTTAGAGTTGGTCAAATTACTAGTCGACCAAAAATTTGTTGGTCAAACAGGTCTAGTCAAATTGGTCAAATAGTTTAACCTATTAAATAAATAATTTTAATATACAAATAAATAAATAAATCTATATATATTCTTTATATATTATTTAATTAATTTGACTAATTTGACTAATTTGACCAATACTAAAATCTTTGACTAACTAGTCAAATTGGTCAAACTGGTCTGATCAAGCTTGACCATTAACCGGTCCGTGCCAACCCTGAATATATTATAAATTTATAAAAGGCCAAATAAGTCTAACTAAACCTTTACAGAATATAAAATAAGTATTTTTAAACTAGCTTATTTAGAAACACTATATAATTTCCTATAATTTTAATAAAGTTAGCAAGGTATTAAACAATATATATTATCCTGTCAACATATTACTACGTACGTATTACAATTGATATCGATATTCCTAGTTTAATTGTGGTTATGTTGTGCAGCTATTTAATTAGTAATAAAAAAAAAAAATCAGTTAATTGTTCAAACTCTTCGATCTATCTACAGCAAATCACAGCATCAATTCCTTATTGGGATTTGTAATACAACTAAGTGAAGCCATCATATGTTCATACTGAAAGTATACAACGACATAGCCCAATTTAGCAAAATACTTGAACCAAAACCTGTAAAGCCTCTGACAAAATAATACACATGGACTCTTTTCAGATATTAATTCGGAACTATTAACCCGTGACAAGTATATAAGTTATATACATAAAAATTAATTTTCGTAAAATACCATTCGAACAAATGGCTGCTGCTCTTCCAGAACATTGCCTTCGAAAAATTTTTAATAGTTTCAATAATTTGGAATATAGTATAAGCTTTAAACGTTCCCTGGTTTTGATTAATCGCTATTGGTGTGAAACTCTTACACCGGAGCTTTGGCGTGATCCTTTTGAAAATTGTGAAACAAGTGAAAGTTACGAACTATTAATTGATACATATCTTAAATGTTTACCTTCTAATGTGTTGAAAAATCTTGGACTTGTTACAACTTCTTCATCTATTGCCTTTGATTATCCATCTTATTTACGCCATTTTGATCCCAATGTAATATTTTCTGCTGTTAAAATTTGGGTTGAACAAACTATTCGTCCAGATATTGATTGTGTCGAGAAGGAAAGAAGAATCGTGGCGATATATTGTGCTCTTTTGGGGAATTTTATGTTGAAGTCGAAGGTCATTCAAAAAATTACACTTTATGAAACTCAATTAGTGAATTTTTATAATTTTTTCGGTGCTGAAACTTGCCTTGCAGCAATTGAAACACTTAATTGCAATGTTAGTGATGTGGGAGCTATGGAACTGTCGAATATTATATATTCGGCTTTGACTGTTTCGAAGAATCTTCAAAAATTAAAAATTTGTTTGTTGAATATTGACGTTTGCATCGACTCGATCATCAAAAATATGTCTTGCCTTATTAAAGTTCAGCAAAATTTAAAAGCTATTTCTATTGAAAGTTTTGAAAAGGACTTTCGCAAACTCTGGAAGTCAATTTCTTTACATTTCAACTCTTTAGTTGACGTTAGGTTAGTTTCTATAAAATTTAGTGAACGTAAACCTTTTAAACTTCAAGAATTAGCTTTTATTCCTAATTTAGAAATTATCAAGATTTATAATTGTGAAAATCTGGAATTTACTTCTAGCCCGAAAATTGATTCAATAGCATTTCGAAAAATTCATAGATTCAAAGTTGAGAATTGCCTTAAATTTCCAATGAGTTTTATTAAGACCGTATTATCCAGATCTAACAAAACTATGCGAGAAATTGGATTTAGGGGACTTGATAAATATGTAGAAATAATTGAATTATGTATACAATATTGTACAAATATTACTAGAATCGATTTAACTATCAAACGAAGCCAATTTTCAATATTTATTGAATTATTAGAAGTATGTAAAGATTTACAAGAAATTTATATTGATGATATGATTTATGTGGATGAATACACTTCGTTGATGGGCTGCAAACGTAAAAATTCATCCGAAGATGGAAACGAAATTCTTAAACAACTTGGAAAAGTACTTCCACGAAAGGTTCAGTCGTTTATATTTTATTTGGATTGGTGGTTTACTCCGAAATCGCTGGAATCATTTCTTGAAAATTGTGCTGTTAAAGAATTGAGAACACTTTCCTTTGCTTTATATAAAGAATTTTCCCTTAAGCATTTAAATGTTATACTGAAGTATTGTTCGGGTACTTTGAAAAATTTGCACCTTAATACAAATAAGCATATACCTGATGGAGATTTAGAAAGAGCTAGAGATATGATTGAATACATTATTTTTGATGGAGGTGAATATATAGATGATTATAGATGTTATGAAGGATCTGATAATGAATATTATGATGATGGGTATGACATACATTACGGTGCAAAAATAGATGAAATTTATGATGATTGCGAATATGAATATTATAGCGATAGTGATGAATTTGATGATTATGATGATTAAAAGTATCTTAATGGTCGAACTTTGGATTTGGAACGTTTGTTTTTTCGATATTTTACTGACAAATTTTTATAACCCTCCATACCCCCGGTGAAATGGTTGTCGGGAAAGTGATTATCAAGAAATTCTGCTTAAAATGCTTTGAACATACCAATGATAATATAGCCAACTCTCCCCCCCCCCAAAAAAAAGAAAAAAACCCGTTTGGAGAAAGTAAAATATAATATACTTTGTCGAAAACAAATGTGTATTTAGAGAAAATATTTGTCACGCAATTCGAAAGAGTTAACTGTATTATCATTCTCACTAATTCCGGTGGTTATCGCTGACGGACGGACATTACATATACAGTATGTATGTTGTATTTGTATTTTATGTAAAATATTTTTGAATTTGATAGTCAGTTGTTTTTTTTTTGATACGTATATGTTTAATGAGTAAGTGACAATGGAGCAATATATTTGTTTGAAAATTTCTTTTTAAATAATTTGTAATTTTATATCTCTGTCTTATTGACAAAGATTTTCAAAATCTTTTAGTTCAATAAATATAAAGATTTGTTAAAATTTAAAGTTAAATTTTGCAAATGTGACAATATATTAATAAAAACCAAAAGCTTGACAAAGTATTAATGTCTAATTGCAACTTAATTTATTGTAATATGATGAGATGCATTGACAATTAACTGTCGGGAATCTGTTTTTGAATATTTGAGTAGACACCACTCAACTTACTATACATATTTAGATAATATGAGTCATTAGCAATTTATTTTTTCTGTGATAAACTATAATCCTCAACGATGTCGTTAACTTCGTGATTATCTGTGCCACCCTGGAAAGATGATAGAATCGATTTGTTAGGTGATGCCGTTCACGCTACGTATGAATCCAATATTAGTATTAGGTTTGTATTTATTAAACTATCTTCATGAAAATCTTAACCCTTAGCATTCTAGCATTACTTATTTTATATATATATTAAAGGTGCAAATAATGCGATGCAGGTCTGTTAACCAAGGAATTAATTAATTCCGGAAATAGTGATTTAATCGCGTGCATTCGACGATACAACGAACAAATGCGATCAAAGACGTTCTATTGTCACGTAACACGGACTAAAGCTCCAGTGGGTGATTTCGATTTAGCACTTAGATATTTTTTAAAGTTCTTGCCGCTTTTTTATATTTATTAAGTCCATGTTTATCAAGAATGTATAAAGCAATTTTATGTTAGGCCAATTCTATTTTGACCCGGGTCAGTGACCTTTCAAGCCACTGTGGCTTGAACAATTTATTCAACTATTCCGATAAGTCATGTGATTTATCCCTTTCGTGTGAGCCAGTCATATTACATTGTCAAACAAGTTAGAATGAACCTAGGTTTTGGATCAAGTTAAACCAATTCGAGTTCAAGTGAACGACCAACTTGATTCCGAATTGGTTAAAGTCAGTTCAAATTCAGGTTCACTTGAACCCGAAAGTGTAGGAATTTAAACTAAGTTTATTCCTAATAAAAAAACAGTATCTAGTAATAAATATCTAATGGATTGAATTCTTGCGAGTTTTTCTACTGCAAGGTAGAAATTTAATATACTTTTCGACTAAAATTTTTGAACAAGTAGTCACGTGAAAAAGAGACATTTTAATACCTGTAAAATATAATGACTTGTAAGATATAATGACACACAAAGTTAATGTTACATCATATCAAAAGTAAAATCATAGATTAACTTATGTCTGTATATTTTTCTCTAATCTACAACGTTTGCTTTTCGTAATACAAATGAATCTTGAACAATTGTCTGAAAATATATCTTTTTTTTTACTAAGCTGATCTATTTTAATTTTTTAAATAAACTTGTTTAACATAAAATTATATATATATTTATTAAAATATATTTTTTAGATCTTTAATTAAATAAAAAATTTTTTAATTTTAATCTAATTTTTTACTTAGTAGAAGATCTGAAAAAATATTTTTTGACAAATATATATATATAATTTTATACTAAACAAGTTTATTTAAGAAATCAAAATAGATTAGCTTAGTAAAAAAAAATTATATATATAATAATTTTAGTATAATTTTATATATAATAATTGTTTTAAAATCAAAAAATATTTATTTTTTTCTTTTAATGAGTGGATCTTGCTGCTTATATTTTATTCAATTTAAAACTAATAATACAATATAAACATGTTACAAAATACCTCAGTACAATATAATATTTTAGAAAATTCTTATATCATATCTTTGTAACTAATACTAGTTTAAAAAAGCTCACTAAATTATACTAACATATTGAATTTTTGCTTACAATTCACTCAGATACCTCCAGAAGCTCTAAGTGTAATCATCTGTTAATAATTTATTTCTTAAAAGTTTCTGTATATAAACACATAGAACAAATCCAAATCCTCAATAGCTTATTGATAGTTTAGTTAAAAACTTCTTGTTCATCTTCTATTCTATGTTAATCTGATTCAAAATGAGTAGGCAATAAAAAAGAAAATAAAAATTTTATATATAATAAAAAATACAAGGTTACATATTATATAAAAAAGTTAAATAAAGAAAATTTGCTAAAAGATAAAAACCTTTAAACAACAAAAACAAAAACAAAAGAAATCAAATATTCTTCCTAAAATAGTGTAAAAATTGTATATATATAACACTAAGATTATTTTTTAAATTCTCAAAGGAGTAGAGTACTGTATTACAGAGAAAATATCAATAACTCAGGTTTCTTATAGCATGTATTTGGTCTAACATATGTTTATTATTTGTTTATAGTGTGAGAAACAACAGGCTAATATCTATTTGTTTTTGTTTATGCATATTACTGATCTTTTAGAGTAAGTAAGTCAAATTCTTCAAAAAATATTCATGAGTTAGAGAAAAATTCAAAAGATGATATTAAAGATAGCTACTTCTAAAAGAGTAAGATTTTGCTACTTATTTTCTTACTAAAAACAGTACAAATACTTGTTGAACTAGCTATTCCTATACTAGCAAACTACTAATAAATGTTACTTAGAACAACAGAGATATTTGACAATTTTTTTTGTATCCACTACTTTTCTATAATATCTAGGAGTTATATTTAGATAATGTAGTTAAAAAGAGCTCATACAAAGAAATTATTCCTAGGAGCGTAGAAAGAGGATAATTATTCCTATTCTTTAGTCCTGCTACTATTTAATTATTTGATAAATACTAAGTTTACTAGTTGTCTTCAAGTTTTAATCCTATTGTTCTATCTAATTTATAATACTATATTAATAAAAAGGATATCGTCAGCAACCTATATGTATATTCAAAAGCTTATAAAGTAGGGTTGGGCACAAAAAATTTTTTGGGCACGCATGCCTTTGTCGAGGACATGCCTCTCTGTGCCCTGAGCATGTCCTCTCTAGATATCTTGATTAATGTCAAATCAATTATGATAATTGACCAATCAAATCAACGAAACTTTATATGTGAGGTTTTTCTATATAAAAGAGTAGGAGGCATGCCTTTTAGCCAAAGAGCATGCCCTAGGAATGCCTCCCTAGGCATGCCTCTAGGCATGTCTTGGGACACCGTGTCCCCAACCCTTATTATAAAGGCATTAATTATAAAATGATAAAAATATAAATAACTTTAATTCTTGGTGATATGGAGATAAGATATTTAATACAATAAATTATAGAATGTAATATTTTGGAAACCGAATATTTTTGTGTTAGCTAATCATATATGTAGTCAGACCTAATTAATTTTATTTGGTAGTTTTAAAAACAGATAACTCAGTAACACTTGGCCTAAATTAGATTACTGAGTTATCTGTTCTAGAAGTGTTCTATTTTTTTTTTCAAAAAAAAGTAATCTTGTGTTGTATTTCTTGCTACTATTATCATAATAGGATATATTTTTTTATAAAGTCCAAAATATTGTTTATAATAAAAATTATAATAAAAACATAAATTTACTATAAACTTTGAGCTAAAAAATTTTTTTAACTTAACTAAGTAACTTAAAATTTAATTTTGTAATTACAAGTGAATCTCGATATAAGAAAGGTGGTTGGGTCCATAGTAAAAATTTTACAAATCTTTCTTATATCGAGAGTTTATTAATAACTTTCTTATATCGAGTGGATTTTATTATAGACTGGTTTTGGCTTGACTTTCTTATATCGAGAGTTTAATTAGTCTTTCTTATATCGAAGGTTTCTTATATCGAGAGTCACTTGTACTATTTTTTAGAAATATCTAAAGCAGAGACAACTCATATTTAATAATTTTTTTAATTAACTTTAGAATTAGAGTTATCTATATTAAAGTTATGTCAAGTTTTAAGTAGTTATTTATAAGCAAAATTGCCTTCTCAATATTTTTACTTAACTTACCTGAAGTAGATTTAAACTGTTATTCTTTGTATTTTTAGATTTTTCATTTTTATTTTTTGTTTTGCTTCACTAGTAATCATCAAAATTATATAATTTAATTAGCTGTTAATCATATAATTTGCTTTTGCTTTAAACAATCTCTATTTTTTGTATTCTAAGAATATAACTATAGAGAAAGATAACTGTATATATATTTTTTTAATATAGATAATTTTGCTTATTATTTTATTAAAAAAAGCTAATTTAAGCTACAAGCAAAATACTATCCCTTAAACCGTATTCCAGATAAATTTGCCTGGAAAATTAAAGAGTAAATACTATTTTTTAAATAATTTAATAAAACATTAATGAAATAGGGTCTATATTATATATAAAATATATTATTGAAAACATACTCTATAAACTTTATTAAGGAATTTTCTTATTTTTACT